TCGTCCGCGTTCTGCTCAGCCCGCAAAAGCGAGCAGGTCCCGGTGGCACCACTTGGAGGAGGAACGGACGTCACCACCTGCCTGCTTCTGAAATAACTTTATTATTTTTGGTTTTGAATAAAATGTTCCCTATACCACGCTTATTCATGCTTATACAAATCATATTTTTTTATTTGCTTCCGATTCAAGTCTGGGCGTTGCATCGTATAAAATGGGAAGTCAACTACACGGAGTCGGCATGTTAGTATCTGCTGCAAATGAAGCCGTGGTTAGGTAGTTGTCCGAGGATCCTTGAGGGATGGTGGGCCTGCTTGCTTGAGCTTCCATACCTGTTCACCTGGGGTCGCGGTTGAAATCGTTATCCACGCGTCAAGTCTCAAATTCCACGTTCGAGGAAAAGGACTCGCTTGTCGGAAATGACCACCTACCAATAGCGAGGCAACCAGTCGCTCTGTCACGTGCTTGTCCTCAATCGTCAGATATGGCACTGCAGCTGTCTGTCGTCCGAAAAGTCCCATCCAATGCGCCCTGCTGTTGTCCCAAGTTTTTTTTCCATGGGCGTTAATTTTCAATACCCCATTTTTCTTTTCAGCGACTTAGCATTACATTCACTAGTAAATGGACACATCTACATGGCCACGCGGCCAAGAGAAGTCCACGCACATCCTTCTGATCCACATGGCTTATAGCCATTGTAGGAGAACTTGCTGGGCTTGGCGCGGCAGTATCCAGGGCAGGGCACGCCATCGCGTCGTGATCTCCCGCTAAATACTATCTCCTCCCTAAAATAAGGGTCTTAATACGACCCCCCTGTCACGAGGGTACAAATGAGAAGAAGCGCAAAAGAGATGAAGAAAATGACAACATAGAGAACCGGGCGCTATCGAACTATTCCTACGCCAAAAACTCAACACAAATTTGTGCTCTATTTTTGTCTATCGATGTTATTCGATGTCCTGTTCACGAGTGTGACGTCATTTCTCCATACCAATGCTATTTGGCGCTCTGCTGAGGCTAAAACTGAGAAAAAGGGAGGATTTCCCTCAAGCCAGGCTCAGTCTTAGCAAAGCGCAAATGACATAGTGTCCTGCGTTAGAGCTGGCGTCAAGAATAAATACCATATTCGTGAACAGGATGTCAAATAATCCTCCCACACAAGTTTTTATCGATTTCGGTGATTTAGGGTATTATAGCCAAATACCCTGAGTCACCGAAATCGATAAAAAGTGTTGGGCGGAGCGGTGTGATATTCGTGTTCAGCAGGTCGAAGTACCGCCGTAACAGTGTTTCCATCCAAATCTGCCCTCTAGCAAAATCGATAAAAAATCGGCCTGATTTCGGCAAACTAAGGTAGGGATAGCTCGACAGTGCTAAATACTACAGCAATACATTCTGAAAACTACCAGAAAACAAAAACCTAAAATACCAAACCATCGACAAAAAACTCACCAGAAGTACTAGGAAGAAATAGCGCGCTCCAATACGCTTACATTAGCGCGCCGGCGAGCGCGCTAACACAAGCGTATTGGTGCGCGCTATTTTACGACCTGCCTATTTCAAGCCAAACACTCGAAAAGTACCTCTCTTTTAAACACCCATCACTTCGTTGAAAGTAAAGCTCTCGGAGAGGGGGGAGTGGGAAAAAGTGGAGCTAGGTTGGCTCTTGTTACCCGCGTTTGAGCGATTTCGAAAACATTTCTTTTCTAGAAGTTCTCTCCGTTGTGATTCTTGCGTTATCATGGACAAGTCGCTACGCTTTGGACATCCATGGGCAGCTTCATACATGACCTTTTGTAAAAAAAGAACTGTGCCGGAAGCACGAAGCTTCCTACTTTCCAGCAAAACTTTCATTTTATATCCCTAGGTCTGCTATTCTAAAAAATTCCCCGTTGTGATCACAGGGTCATCACTGCCCCACGACACGGAAAATCATTCCCTAGGAACCCTTTCGCGAAGGTTATCAGGAAAGAATTCATTGGGCACCAACTGCCATCACTTCTGCAATGCGCCATGCATAGGGCTTTCACGCAAAGCTATTGGGAAGGTGCAATTTTTAGAAAGGGTATCCTCCGTGCAAGTAGGTGTGCTTCTACAAGAGAAAGGTGCGGTAGTGTACTTACATCTGTTTATTAGTTTATGACGGATATTCATTGGCGCGTAGGTGCTGTAGTGACAAGCGGCGCGCTTACCACTCGTGCGATGCCGGGTTCAAAACCCGAGTCAAGTCTCGCCCGAGCCAACCAAGCCTTCTACCCTCCGGGAACGGTAAATTGGTACCAGATTTGTCTGGGAGGATAAAACACTGACTTGTTGTTCGGCTGGCCACCACAAGTCATTGTATAGGCCATATCGCATTCAATAAGCCACTGCGATTCTGAATGGAAGTAGAATGCGTACCGCATCCTACGAAGGGGTTGATCAACGGCGGAGACTTTATCCTTCACCTTTTTTTATTGATTCATGACGTCGTTGTGGGAGGCTATCGTATTTCCTGTCGTCGCCCGTTCCCCACTTCTGCACCGGCAGGTTGCTTCTGTCTTGTTTGGGTCTCTTCAAAGGTTCTTCACAAGGACAAGACTTTCATCATTGGAGCTGACGGGCTCGGTTTTCCGGACTCGGTACTCCGGGTACTGACCCCTGCCTCTCTCGACGGAGTTATAGCAACCGGTGAGAGGCGAAGAAATCTCGGGTTGACTGAGTCGTCGTGAAGTTCAGATAACGGCGGCATGCTCCCCACACGACATGGAAACTGCCTTGTTCTTTGTACATAAAATGAAAGAAATGTTGTAACGCGGCTCTTCATGAGCTTCTCGATGCAGCAGATCACTTGAAATGCCTCGATTGCCCTGTAGGAAATTAAGAGCAAGAAGACAGACGTGCGCCGAATGAAAGATGGAATGCTCGGGAGAAGCTTACATCGCTGGCACTGGCTTTTTCGTATGACATCCATCTATTGTTCGCCTCGTGATTCACACAAAATCTTGTCTCCTCGCTTTGTTCAGCGCCTTCGGCATGCGCACTCTAAACCCACTCGTAACATTAGCTATTCTCCGCACTCTTCAGCCGACAAAGCGGATTTCGAAGTGTTCAATGAGCAGTTGGAGGAATGATCCGCAGTGAGAGGTCATTCTACAATTTCGTCGTGGGGCACTTCAACGCAAGGCTCTGTAAGGTGTCAGATGAGGAGTTCAAGATCGGACAGCTCGGCCTAGGAGGGAGGAACGAAAACGGGAACCGTCTAGCGGCGTTTCTTTGTGCAGCTCGTCTTTATCATGGAAATTCATTTTTCCAGAAGAGAGAAAACCGCCGTTCAGGGACGTGGAAGTCCCCGAGCGGCACCACTCATGCTGAGCTGATACTAGCTAACAGGAAATGGTACTTAGTGGGAGTTCCCGTGGTACCATCCTTCTGCGCGGCTCGAATCATCGCTCCTCCGCACTAAGGGTAGACTCAGCCATAAGCTGGAAAAGACCGTCCATCATAGCGTGAGGGGGAGGGAGGGGGTGGGGGAAAGCGGGTTGTATATTTGAGATGCGCTGTATACTGCCCTAACCAGATATCAGCAGCAGTCAAGGAAAATCCGACCGAGGACTACGATGCGCTGTTTCGAGGATTCCATGCCTGCGCTAAATCGGCCGCTCTCGATCGGAGTTTGTCGCCTGTCGGAGGCAACCAAAGCTCTCCTCCAAACTAGTAAAAGCCTGAGTAAAAGCTAAATCCACGCCATGCACCGTGTGAAGCTCCATTTAAAATTTCTGTTGTAGGCAAGTAGTGCAGCGTGACCGTCAGCGGTACAGGGGAGAAATCAACTAGAGGCAGCAATCTATTCCGAAGAAGAATTATTCTAGAGAATCTATTCTGAAAAAATGCAGGCAGAATGTTGAAACTATAGCACTCCTCCCTAATGTCTGAAATAGGAAGATGGAACTCCTACCTATTCCCGTATGGAAATGGAGGGGATAACGCAGAGATTTTATTTCAACCTCTACCACTCCACCACGCATGCACAGGACCGAGAGACTCCTACGTGAAGCATGCCGAGTTCCACCCTGAGAGGTGCTTGTTGCTTGCAGGCATGAAGAGTGACACAGAGCCAGGACTCGACAAAAATCTCGGTCGATATGCTTCGAGCGGCTGGCCACGAACTTCATGCGCTTCTCGCAACATACATGACTCCTTCCTCCGAACGGAGAGAACTGTGTAACTGTAGGGAACAATTCGGACGATGCGATAAACCAAATCCTTCGGTGAAATAGCATTCCCATTTCGCTTGAAGACCTGAGTATGCTTCCAGAAAACATCTTTTCGTCGAGGTCGCTAGGGACTAGCTTAATCGGCGTCGATTGATTAACATCTCTCTGCATTAAGCCATGCATCCGATTCCCACGCAATGGTGTTGGAAAAGTGTATTTCCTAGATAGTTTTCTCCGGGCAAGCAGACGTGCTCCTACGGTCCAGAAAGGTCCGAGTGTTGCTGTGTTTCGTTTGCTTAATATACGACGTCGCTTTTAGTGACCTCCGCACTTCTTATCATCCGCTCCCCACTTCTGAGCTTGCGGCTTGACTCTGCCTTCAGGTGTCCTTTTACGTCTTCCTCACAACAGGAATCAGTAGTAACTCTTTCATCATTCAACGACTGTACAACATCTGACCATTCGAATATTGCTGCTCATCACACTTCAACGAGCCCTGGGGTATGACCACCTCCTTCGCGGTCGAATCCCCTTCTGGCTTTCACAGCGGTTGTCTGCTCTAGCTGAAGCGCTCGGCTAGTGCCACGCAATTTTTTAATCTGTGCACTTGATCAACGCTTTTTGCCATCAAGGGAGAAGTTGCAGTGAAAGTAACATTTGTGATGGTATAGGATAAGGAGCGCATACCAAGTGAACAGATGAAAGGAGTGCCCAACATTAGTAAATCACTTCGAGTTAAAAAAAGGAGCAGGCAGCAGGGCCGCTTCCGTCCGAAAAGCCGGGTCCTTTCACAGAAGTAGGCTCAAACTAGCGATCACACTGGTGGAAGTGCCAGTAGTTATTCGTTGCCATCTCAAGAAACGTGAAAACAATTTTCCCTGTAATAATAAATAAACAAGCAGATCCTACTTTTGCTTTCTATACGCTGCGCAGAACATGAAAAAAAATGAGGGTTTTGTTTCTTATCAGCATGTGCTATAAGAGGTTGCTGCTACAACTCCCAAAATAAAGTAGAGCTTTAAAAGAACCTCCTCGTGATTCCTTATCCGCGACCATACTGATAAATCCTGGGTTTATTTTGCTGTCGAGAACAACCCATGCACCTCCTCGAAGCTCTCCTTGGCAAGGTATGTAGATAATCACAGGCCTTCGATACTGTCGAAGTGCATCCACTATATGAGCTCCGAATTTGAGCACCATTTCGAACATATCTGAAGTGATTTTATAATACTTCCTCAGATAAAAACAAGAAAAGATTGGCAGAATTCACTGCACCTCGCTGTCCACCGGAAAAGCCTCGTAGAGACGCAATGAACAGAAGTGGAAGGCCCTCACGATCGAAATCACCAATTACTTCCGCAGTTTTGAATGCTGAGTCCGGATACCACACTTGGCCAGCTTGATGTACTTCAATGGACTGACTGTTGGGTGAGGCGGGATCGGCCGGGTTAACGGATACCACATTTCGCAGTTCAGAGGAAACGACCCCAACAGAGATACCACAAATTCGAGCACGACCGGCTACAAATAAAAATGTGTTGTCCGTTGGCTACGTTATAATGAGGGAGACTGGGAACATTTCAAATACCGATAATAGTTTTCGCCCATTCATTCATGATTTCGTCAAAAGAATTTGCATCACAAATTCCACGGATTTGTTCTGAATCTCGGCTATCAATGAGCAGGCGAATGTCATATGGCTTGTTTGGTTCAATTGCAAACTGCACGAGACGGGGAGACGCGTCAAATCCAATATAACGGCGAAACGGAAACGATGGAATCTGAACAAAACAAGCCAAGAGTGAGCTATTTTTGAGCAGAGTGAGCTCTACACTTCTCACTTTGTCGGGAAGATAGCTCATCCATTGCAATATTTTGCAAATTCCTTCGAAATCGTCATTCACAACAGCGTGAGTCACTCCGTTCTTGAACATAATCTGTATGCCTCCCAACTGATTATTGGATGTGTAAACCTGAACACTGAATGAACTGTTCTAATAAGGAGAAATAAAACAAAAATTGGCGAACCTCTTTCCCTAACAAGGTATTCAGAGCAGGCGCACCAGTGAGAATGAGATGAGATGAACGTGTCTAAACAAATTTTGTTTGAATACCACTGCTGAAGGAATTCTTTTTGAAGCAAAACGTACTTGCACTATGCGGTGGGCTAGACGAGCAGTATAAGCTCCAATGCCCACGGTACGCCCAGTTACCAAACAGTATGTTGGCACTTCATCGTAGGCTGCTGATGTTTCACCAGCTATCATTCCTGACCCTTGCAGATTTTCCACTCCAATGGTTTCATTCTGTAATGAACACGTAGAGTACAATTTGAAAATATCGGCAAATATTCTTTGTAGTAACAGCTCATACTATACAAGTTCAGAATACAGCAGAAACTAAATGAAGAAAACAACACAACAAATAGCGAAAATGTATGTGCTCAAAATCGTCAACAGTATTAACACACCGGCTTCCCAACAACTGCTTTCAGTCTCAGCAAACCATTCGGCATTTTCTCGTAAATGATTTGATCCTTGAGAGCTTGTTCCTCGCTCGCGTCGACGTAGAGGTACTCGAAACCTTCTTCTGGATTACAGGGATCCTGTTGTAAAATGCTATTTTTTTTCACCGTTTGGCTGCAACAGTGCTCATAATTACACTGCGAAGCATAACCATAGTTCCACCCATGAATCTCACAAAATTTTGTCTCACACGACGTTCTCAAAAATGTCCTTATTCAAAAAATGTGGTTAAATACCAACTCGCATGCCAACATCAAACACTAACTTGAAGGAACACTTTTTTGTCAATTTTTTTTTGAAAATGGTCTTTCTGACAATGCAGCAAATAATAGTTCCACCGCATATTTTCCAGCTGCATCTCATTTTTGTCAGGTAAAACTTCTCATCATTATGACTTCTAGCCTTTTCTAGGCTATGGCAACTGGAAGTTCATTACTGGACCTCGAAAAAGAACAAATTATTGCAAAGAAGGCTCAAAGACTGTCGAACCGTCAGATCGCACGGGATTTCGGCTGCACTCATCATTTTATCAACAATTTTGTCAAAGCTTACAGGATATTGAGTTGAGAAGAGCTCTGGACATCCTCCTTTGCTGCCCGATCGGAATAAGCGCCGTATCCTGCGAAAAACATCCAACGCTGGAGCGTCCTGTCTAGCGTTCGAGAGATTAAGCTCCGAAGATGATTTAATGCGCGTAGCGCATTAAGTCATCTTCGGAGGTCAATGTCTCGAACGATGCTGGCAAGCGTGTCTCGAAAAAGTCCTGAGTTCTTCTACAGAAGGAATATGAGCTACGCACTGTTTCTAACAAAAAAAAACCACCGCGAAAACCTAATTGGCATCGCTCGAAGATCTTGCCGAACTGATTGGAGTGAGGTTAGCTTTTCGCTGCGGTGCCATACTGCTTGTCTGTCTTTCTCTTTTTCAGTTTTTTTTTACTCGCAGTCGTGTTTTCTGATAAGAAAAAAAAATTAACTGTGACGGCTTCGACGGAAACCGATTCCGCTGGCACGACCTGAGGAAAGACAAGTTTCATTTTTTCCGGGCAAGAGGATGTGGTCTCTTGGTCTGGGCTGCCATCGCATAAATGGAACGTCTGAAACTGTGCTCCGTATTCAAAAAGAATTGATTTTCTCTGTCTACCTAACCTCATGCGACGTCGTCTCCTTCCTTTCTGGCATGGAAATCAGCAAGAAAGTCCCTCTTTCATGCAAGATAATGCGGCAATTCATGTTCATTCGCAGCCGAAGCACTCAAGGGCGATTCAGTCGTCACCAAACCGCTCTTTTGCCTTGGCCAGCGATTAGCCCCGACTCAAAGCCTATCGAGGATGTGAGTTCATGGTGCGTATGATCCATGAGAACAATGCACAATTCCACAAGGTCCCTGAGCTTAGGGAGTTCATCATTGGTGCAGTCGTCCGCAAGCCTGTTGAGAATCTCCAATCGGGCACAGACAACCGTATTTTCCAACTTAGTCGAAGAAATAGAGTCAATAGATTACTGGGTCAAAAATTTGTTAATTTTGTTGTACACTTTTTGTTGGATTATTCGACTTGTTCGGTGGAACTATCATTTTGCTGCATTGTCAGAACGACCATTTTTCAAAAAACTGATGAAAAAAATTGTTCTTTCAAGTTAGTGTTTGGTGTTGGCATGCGAATTGGTATTGCTAATTACGAGATTCTCTGTATGGGGGCATTTTTGAAAACGTAGTGAAAGATGGGATTCTGTGAGATGCATGGGTGGAACTATGATTATGCTTCGCAGTGTGCAACAGTATGGTTTGACGAAATTTCTGTACAAGGAGAGAGCGAGTCGTGCCAATGCCAAGGAATCAGACAATGCGTTGGATATGTGCTTCTATTCCAGTATCTGACAGTTTGCACACTACTCAGTTTCAAAGTGACTTCTTCAAACAGTGGCTATTCCTGCGTAAGCTTCACAAATTTCAGGCTGGAAAGAAAGTGCTGTCTTTGTTGCGACTTTTTTTATTTTCGAACTCAACATGCCATATAAATTAATCAGTAATATATACATATAGTCGGCACCGTCAGCCTCTCAGTGTTCTACCTGATGACAGATCAGCGATTCCCTTCTCCCAAAACTAGAGGGCCTGCGGATCAAAGAAGTAAGCCATTTCTCGACAATTGCCGTCAAACTTGCTCAACGTTTTGATACCTAAGAAAGCCCTGAGGGGGAGCAGCTAGTAAAATTAGCGGCCCATGACAGGAGAATATGGTGGGCGGAGTATGGTCCCCCAGCTTTGCTTCTGAATTTTTTGATGAGTTTCCATAGCAGTGTGAGGCCTCGCGTCATCACGAACGAGGTTCTCCGAGGCTAGTCTCGGCCATTTTTCTCCAACCATTTCCTCGGTTTTCTGCAGCTTAGTGTCATAAACGGTGGCGATGACCTTGCGCCTCTTACAGGGCAGGTCGTTGCGCAACATATCCTTCGCGTCCCAGAAGCAGCACAAGACTTTTGGAGTGCATGCCAGGCTTTGCCTATTAACACATACGCGGCGGCGTGTACTCCCGGGAGTACACGAAAAAAAACTCCGCTCTCGGCGAGGTGTACTCCCAGAAGAACGCGGCCTATTCGCTGGTTTTTTTGTCTTTGATTTTTTTCCCACTAACAACTGGATATAAATAACCAGTCGGCTCGCCGGCTAACGCCGGCGCGCCTCCTTCTGATATGGCCCGGCTGCGCCGGACGAGCGCAGCTTCGCCGCGCGTATTTTCTTTCACATATTTCTAGACTCAACCTTCTGCCTTTTGTTCTTTACTCCACTTTTTTTCCGGCATTCAGAGTGCTCTGGAACCGTTTCACAGACCTTCTTATCTGGCTCCACCCACCTCCGAGCAGGCTCCGCCCACAACGTTTTTGCCCGACAATCCTCACCGGCGACCCTCTACTGACCTTAATCCACGTTTAATTCCGGTCTTTGAAGTGCTCTGGGACAGTTTAAGAGAATTTTCGTCTGGCTCCGCCCACCTCAGGCTAGCCCCGCCCACAATATGTCTACCCCACATTTCTCAATCGGCGACCCCTTGCTGACCGGAATTCATTTTATTCCGGTGTTTAGAGTGCTCTGGAACCGTTTTACAGACCTTTTTGTCTGGCTCCGCCCACCTCGGGCTGGCCCTGCCCACAATATGTCTACCCCACATTTCTCAATCGGCGACCCCTTGCTGACCTGAATTCACTTTATTCCGGTCTTCGGAGTGCTCTGGAACCCTTTTACAGACCTTTTTTTCTGGCTACGCCCACCTCGGAGCAGGCTCCACCTACAATTTTTTTGCCCCACAATCTTAACCGACAACCCTCTGCTGAACTTAATCCAATTTTTTTCCGATATCTGTAGTGTTCTGGAACCGAGCTACAAACTTTTAAAATGAATACTCTGCGATTTAGGGCAAGCTCCGCCCACTACGGGCGGGTCTCAACAGAGCGTGCCCTATATTCGTCGGATATTTACATTCTACACTGAGTTTTTTTGCGACTTCCAAAAACTCTCGCGAACGCGGGTTTCCTGAATTTGGCGAGAGAAGCACGCCCAACCTTAAGCATTGCGCTCGCCTTAAGGTGCACCTGCCGACACTTAGTGTTGGCCGACGCTTACTCAATCTTAGTCCCTTTTTCCCCCATCTTTTTAAGTGCACGGAAGCGAATTATGAAACATTTTTTCTGCGGAGCCCTCGAACTTTCGGCGAGTGCCCCGCCCACTGTGGGCGGACTTGCCCATAGGTCAAGTGTGCTTTTTTTTATTTTCTTGACCCATGCCCTACCTATTCCCACCTTTGACTGGACCTCTTCAAGTCGTTCTTCTAGGTCGAACCGAATTTCCGGACAGAAAAACTTACACACTTACAACTTTACTAACTTACAAACAAACAAACAAACCAGACAAAGCGAATTATATATATAGGATGATAATCAAACAATAGAGAATTAATATCCACACATTAGAAAAGGCGTGTATACCTGGAGAAAATACTCAAAAACTTTCCTCTTTAGGCGGATCGGGCATTCTTGGGAGTACACCGCGCTTCTTCGCTCGTTTTTTGACAATTTTGTTCTCCTTTCACTGGCACTATATAATATTATTAAATAAGTAATATACAAGTAATACTAAGAAATTGTCTCGTGTATTTGTTGAACCAGATTAGGTAGTAGTGGTTTTTACAAGAGCAATCAAGAACTTTCACAAGAATCGGAGTCTACATCCTGTTCGTGCGGTACCAGTGAGCATCAAAACGGGCAATAAAGCTAGTTCATTCACCGAAACTTAGATAAAACATGGAGAAGGGGGAAATGTGAAAGCAATGGCGAAAAACGGCTTTGTGTGAATTTTAGGCGTTTATGGTTCCATGGCGCAACCTTGAACGGCATGACTGCCTCAGACAAGAGCTAACTTCAGTATTACCGCCACGCTACCGTAATCCAAAGCGGCGCTCAGTTAGTTGTAACTCCGCAGTGGACATACGTACAACACTGGATTTTACGCCAAGTAACAATGAAAAACTGTGCGAAAGACGCTTGCAGACTTTCACTTTCACTTCACTTTCAAGGATGAACGGAAATTTCGTGCACATTTCCCTCATGTTTTCTTTCGTCTCAATTTAGAAGTTCGATGTTTGGCATACGCGCCAGCGTATGCAAGCATATATACCATTTTCACTTTAAATTCCCCCTTTTCAAACCAAGATTCACCCTTTTCAAACCAAATTCACCCCTTTTCAACCAAATTCACCCCTTTTCAAAGCAAATTTACCTTTTCAAATCGAATTCACCCACTTCAAATCGAATTCACCACACCTATTAGGCTGCGCAAGTCATCTACCAACACGCCAGACACTATTATGGGTCCGCCCCTCGGCCACGCCTACTTGCTTTTTGCGGGACTTTGATATTTTTTCGAAATTTTTGCATTTCTGGACATGAAGCCCGCCGGTTGTTGTAGGCTCCGCCACTTTGGAGAAGCCTCGCCC